AGCTGCAGGGGAATGAGGTAATGCCAAAAGACTAAGCATACATTTCTATACTAATGGAAAGTGATTTTCAACTCCATATATTTCTTTTGAAATTGTAAATCAAATGTGTGTGTGTGTGTGTGTGTGTGTGTGCGTGCGTGCGTGCGTGCGTGCGAGCGAGAGAGAGAGAGAGAGAGAGAATTTGGGGTTCATCTTGTACTGTTAGTTTTCCTTATTCGTTATTTATTTGTTTATAATGTCTTTAACACCACTGGGAGATTTCATGACCAATGGCGTAATTGAGGTTGGTCTTCCTTCAGTAACGTTTACTGAATCGAACATTCAATGACAGAACTAAAAATATGAATGCAAAATTTCTAAAAAAAAATTAATAGTTAACTTTTTCTCGAAGGGTCAAATAGCACCACATGTGTCTGAGAGTACCAGCTTCGACAGCCCTGCAGCTGATAATTGAATTCGCTAGCATTTAAGTGTGTGGTGTCAGTTGTTGATCCAAAGGTCAGGTGTGAGCAGACGAGGTGAGGTGACCACTGGAGGATTCCTAAAGTGCTGACCCAGTCTTGTCACTTCTGATTGGTTGTCTCAGCCGAGTTTACGTTATTTGTTGTCGGGTGATTATGAATTCTGTCGCGTCTGGTTTCTCCTAACTCTTGTTAATTATTGTTCTTTGTATTTGTATTATTGAGGGTAATTTGTTAGCTAGAGCCTATTCACCGGTTGTAAACTGCACGGCCCTGCTTGTTTGCTTACTTCTGGACGAAGGTCTTACTCACGGACCTAAAGTGTTGCGTACACAACCGCTCTTATGTGTGCAGACTGTTGGTTCCTTCTCTGACATATTAACTCTCCGATTTCGGAGGTTCCTCGCTTGTTAATTTCTGGTGTAGTTTGTTGTTTGAAATATCTCATAGTGTCTTGTGTTACCTGTTCTTGGTGTTTTTATCTTGTCTCCCCGAAAAAGAAGTGCCTGTTGCAGCGATCTCTTCCTGTCCAGACGCTGCAGCATGCCAGGCGTAGAGAAAAACAAGAAGGAGAAGGAGTAGGAGAATAAGAAGAATCTTTTCTCTGTGTCGGCGGCCCTGGTTTGCGGTAATACTCCCCTGTTAAGCGACCGATATATCATGAGACCGTGGCGGTCGCGCTAGAGTTAACAGCGGGCAGTTGATTCAAAATATGGAAGGCCAGTGATAGGGACTGATTAGCAGCTGCATGGTTGCTCATTGCCTTGAACTTCTGTTTTGGTGTGGGTGAAAGAGAGAGAGAGATTTACATATAAAGAGAGAGAGGGCGATCGCTTGTGTGCGCATTTCGCATTACAGTTCGACGTGAAAACAGCGGCCACCACCCCCACACCCCCCCCCCCTTTTTTTTTTCCCCACGGGCAACGGCTTTGACAGGCCGGCAAAACCAGGTGAGGGTAGCCGATGTTTTTTTTTTTTTTTTTTCCATTGGTGAGTTAGGATCTGCCTATCCAAGCATGCAAAGACTGTCGGCAGAATGTGCGGAGGAAACTACATTTGGTTCAACGGGCAAGACGGCGACACTAGCAAAGCGCTGTGGAGCGCAAAGAGCATGGCAAGGCACGTAGAACACCCTGGTCATCCATTGCACCTAGACATATCTCCAGTCGTCTTGACTCTGTCTTGCCATTGGATCCAGATATGACTCAGGCGAGAGAGTAAGGTCGACGACACTCCGCAGCTCTTCCTCACTTTAATCCAAGTCACCGCCCAAGTCACTCTTTCATCACCATCTACTTAATGAAAAAGAGTGGTCATCATCATCTTGATGGACAACACACACACACACACGACGTGAAAGAAGGGAACTTGTTATGTGATTGTTGTTGTCTATTTTTCTAACGCATAAAATATCATAAGGCAGCCATCAGAAATGCTAACACAAACAGTCCAACATTAGAAATGCAGTTACTCGACAGAAGCAGGAGTTATAAAGAGATCAGCAGTTGCCCGCGCGGTCAGTTTTAATCACATAAGGCACCACCAATTCAGTGGCAACAGGCATACCAACAGATGCATGCTGTTGAAGATCGTAGACTGTGGAGAGGCACGATCCCCTGTGCTAGTCAGCAAGGCGCTTGATGATGATGACGACAGATACCTGTATCTCCGGCCGCATGACCTGTGTATGCTGTGTGCGGTAAGCGGTATGATGTGTGCTGTATGTTGTGTGCGGTAAGCGGTATGCTGTGTGCGGTAAGCGGTATGATGTGTGCGGTAAGCGGTATCATGTGTGCGGTAAGCGGTATGCTGTGTGCGGTATGCTGTATGCTTTGTGTGGTAAGCGGTATGATGTATGCGGTATGCGGAATGCTGTTTGCAGTAAGCGGTATGCTGTGTGCGGTATGCAGTATGCTTTGTGCGGTAATGGTATACTGTATGCGGAATGCTTTGTGCGGTAAGCGGTATGCTGTGTGCGGTAAGCGGTATGCTGTGTGCGGTATGCTTTGTGCGGTATGCGGTATGCTTTGTGCGGTAAGCGGTATGATGTATGCGGTATGCGGAATGCTGTTTGCAGTAAGCGGTATGCTGTGTGCGGTATGCGGTATGCTTTGTGCGGTAATGGTATGCTGTGTGCGGTATGCTTTGTGCGGTAGTGGTATGATGTATGCTGTGTGCGGTATGCGGTATGCTTTGTGCGGTAATGGTATGATGTATGCAGTATGCTGTGTGCGGTATGCGGTATGCTTTGTGCGGTAATGGTATGCTGTGTGCGGTATGCGGTATGCTTTGTGCTGTAATGGTATGCTTTGTGCGGTATGCGGTATGCTTTGTGCGGTAAGCGGTATGATGTATGCGGTATGCGGAATGCTGTTTGCAGTAAGCGGTATGCTGTGTGCGGTATGCTTTGTGCGGTAATGGTATGCTGTGTGCGGTATGCTTTGTGCGGTAGTGGTATGATGTATGCTGTGTGCGGTATGCGGTATGCTTTGTGCGGTAATGGTATGATGTATGCAGTATGCTGTGTGCGGTATGCTTTGTGCGGTAATGGTATGATGTATGCAGTATGCTGTGTGCGGTATGCTTTGTGCGGTAATGGTATGATGTATGCAGTATGCTGTGTGCGGTATGCGGTATGCTTTGTGCGGTAATGGTATGATGTATGCAGTATGCTGTGTGCGGAATGCAGTATGCTGTGTGCGGTATGCAGTATGCTGTGTACGGTATGCTGTGTGCGGTATGCAGTATGCGGTATGCTGTGTGCGGTATGCTGTGTGCGGTATGCAGTATGCTGTGTGCGGTATGCATGCAGTATGCTATGTGCGGTTCTATGTGCGATATGCGGTGTGCAGTGTGCGGTATGCTGTGTATGCGGCTTGTGGTGTGCGGTATGCTGCGTGCGGTGTGTGATGTCTTTCCGTCTGTGCCACCAATGGTTACAACACTGTGATTGCCAGGCTGAGGAAGATTGTGGTGGCGGGAACCTCTCCTGGTATTTCATCCCTATCGTATTTCCCACTAACAAGACGCCCCTATTTATTTTTTTCTAAGCCTAAAATTAGGATGTAAATGCTTTAAGCACATTCTGTATATTAGGCCAGCCACAGTTTTTAAACTTAAAACATTTGGGATTGGATTGGATTTTTTACCCCACCAGGACATCACACAAGCGATAAACACCCGATGACACAAAGTGCCACCATGCGGATGAGGATCACCGTGGAGAGGTCCCAGAAACCGCGTTCAGACATTTGGCCATAATGATGACCTGCCTATATTGCGGCTCCTGGCAAAAGCCAGAGTAGGGCTTCAAACAACAAAAAATAACGTCCTAAGAAGGACGAAAAGTAAATGGTGAAACATTTGGGAAAACATATCGTCTTATACGCGGGGGGAGTAACCTCCCACACACAGTGTCAGGTACACCTGGTGTTCAATCCTGTCTTGTAATCTAGCACCCGGCTTTTGTCTGTTCAAGCTCACTTGAAACCTAGACACATGGGTGCAGTTGTAAACATTCCTTTCAGTTGGGAGTGGGCGGGTTGCGTTTTTGTCAGGTTTGTCTTAGTTGGTACTTGGAGTTCCTTGGGGTGTCAGAAAAACCAGTTACAGTAAGAGACATGGTGCGACTTTAAAACACACCAGGATGGTTTCGGTTTCAGTAGCAGGGATCCCTTGTCCATTACCGAGCTCCTGGTGGGGGGGGGGGGGAGACCCAGTACCCTACCTAGCACTCGTGTTGTAAACAGCGATTAAAAAAAACCCAACAGTCTGCATATAAATATGCCAGATCTGTCAAACTGCACTCAAATACAAAATTCAAATTCCGGAACAAGATCAAAACCCAGAAGTGGTTGAACAACCAGAACTTACCACTGGACTTTACAGCCGGTGGACACAAAGGATAAAAAAAGAAGTAGAAAAAAGAAGTGGAATAATAATAATGGCACAAAGAATGGCTAAAATACGAACAAAGTGGATTAAAATCTGTCACTAGCAAACAGCTCTCGAAACCAACGCAAAACAGTCTTCTGCCAAACCGCTTGTAGCAGGGATCGAACCCGACACCCCAGCATTAAGAAGACCATTGACAGCGCCTAAGCCTGTTTTTAGTTAGCTGTCAGTATTTGAGAAAGCGGCTGGTCGTTTTTTTTAAGGCACTGGACTCTCATGCAAGAGACCCGGATTCGATCCTCAGTAAGGGGTGAAGATTTTTGTCTCTGAGGGCCAAGAGACCCGGATTCGATCCTCAGTAGGGGATGAAGATTTTTGTCTCTGATGGCCAAAAATATCTAACTGAATCTGCAGAGTTTATGGCGACAGCACAAGTCGTATGCTTTAAATCCCTAAACTCATGACTACCCCGTCCCGGTCCTATAGTACCCTGAAAATATTAAACATGGACACTAAAGGCAGTAATTCAGCATATACCATTTCCTCTTGCATTGTTGGCTCTATATACCATGTTATTGCCACTTGTGTTTTCAGTCACACTCTACTGATTTTTTTCTTCTTCTTCTTCTTCTGAAATTGTTGCAGCCAGAGAATCTCCTCTTCTATAGTACTGAGGAGGATTCTAAAATTATGATCAGTGATTTTGGCCTGTCGAAGATGGAAGGCACTGGAATCATGGCCACCGCATGTGGGACACCTGGATACGTGGGTGAGTAACAGTTGGTTTGATGTGCTAGCTTGTTGGGCTTCCCTGGGATTCTCTGGTGGCTACTTCTGTCAGTCTGTTACACTGCTGTATTCCTGTGAGATGATGACTAGTGGTATACACTGTTTGCGGGAAAAGAATTGAAATAATACCCTTCAACAAGCACTGACTTGTTAGGGGTCTCTCCTTTGCAGTCAGAGTCCGTCTGCCTGAGAGGTGAGGAACCAACAGACTGCATGCAGGACCAAAGTCCAGAAGTAAACACAAATTTTAATCACGAGTTTACAGCCGATTAACAAGAATCTTTTCGGACACTGAAAAACTCCAGTCATATTTAATGCCACAATGGTTTAGGTAGAGCGGTAGTGAAGGACAGTGTTCCTGGAAGAAGAGGCAAGGATCAACCATCATGGTAGTGGAGACAGAATTGCAGGGAGATTTAAACGTATTTCTCTTTATCATCTCTAGTCCGGCTCTGTCTTTCAGCATCTTTTGAAGATGCATCAGGTACAGGCTTGGTATGTATTACTAGATACTGGTATTTACAACCTTAGATATTCCATCTATCCATCGCTTGCATGGTTGGCCTCTAGTTCTGCTTCCATTATGTCTTAAGTGAATAAGCTGTCTGTAGTATACTACCAGGTGGTAGTCTTGACAGGTGTCCGAACCATTTGATCTACATGGACACGTTCCATGTGAAAGCTCTGGTGGTGGGACAGTTAGCAGGAAATCAAATGGCTGTCCTGTTTGCAATAATGAGAGCGACATTCTGCAAAGGATCTGCACCGTGATGATGTTGATGCTGACGTCTGCGCTTCTGTGCAGCACAGTAACCTCTTGTGTGGTCTGTTAGTGGTTTCATGAATGTTTTTCCTTGGGCTGTTGTGAATGTCTTGTCATCCAGATCAGCTTGCTGTATAATAAAATAATGTGCAGTTGTAGCAGTGGAACACTGGCTGCAGTGCACACACTAATACAGGGCTATTCAACTGGCGGCTAGGGCCAGATCTGGCTCCTGGAGACCTAGCAAGTAGCCCCTAGATCGGTGGTTCTCAACCTTCCTTTAGCCACGACCCTTTACTACAGTTCTTCATGTTGTGGCGACCCTTTAATTCAGTTCCTCATATTGTGGGGAGGGACCCTTTAATACAGTTCCTTATGTTGTGGTGAAGAATGCTTAGAATACCTTGGATAGCCAAAAAGAGCAACCAAGAGGTTTTGAAAGAGGCGGGAGCCCGAAGACAACTTATCACAGACATCAGAAGGAGACAGTCATCATTTTTCGACCATGTTATGAGAAGAGGGAAAATAGAACATGTTGTGACCACTGGAAAGATCCGTGGAAGGAGGGATAGAGGAAGACAACAAGAGAAGATGCTTGACAGTCTTGTTGCATGGCATGGAGGTGTGTCGGCACACGAACTGATACATGCTGCAGGAGATCGCAGATTATGGAGAGGCATGATCACCCACGCCAGTCGGCCAGGCATCTGATGATGATGATGTTATGGTGACCCCCAACCACACTGTTATTTTCGTTGCTACTTTACAACTTCAATCAGTATGTGTTTTCTGATGGTCTTAGGCGAACCTTATGAAAAGTCATTCTACCAACAAGTTGAGAACCACTGCAGTAGATCAATGACAGTTGTATTGTGATAATGATCTTTCTGTGCTTGGGCTTGGGCCTCTGACAATCCCCATTTTCAATAGTCTGGCCCCTGATTAATATCTTGGAAGCACTGAGACGCCCTAATCTTTTTACACGGTGCAACTCTCATACAGCTCTGAAAGACACAAAAATGATCTTTTCCTAAACTGCCCACCATTGGAATAAAACTCTGGCACATTAAGGATTGGGTCGTGGGTTCAAAAACTGACAGAGCCGGACTTTTTTTCCCTTCCAAAAAATGACATTGGCTTGACCCAGCCTTAAAATTAGTGCCAGGTAAAATCCTGGGAAAGAAAGGCGACCGGGGCGATGCTGACCACATCACCGTTCAATGTGCTGATTAGTCTTTGAAATATAGGTCTAGTCCTGCATGCCCAGTGCGCCTGAAACCGTGGAAAAAGGTCTTTTACTTTTATTTACATGCGAAAACGTAGACAAAGAATTAACAGACAAGCACTGAAATTGAAAACAAATGGATTGTGGAGACGAGGGCATCCATGAGAAACACTAATACAAATCATGTTGAGATAGAATCCATTGGTGCCAGACTGGATTCCATCCATGATATCTAGAAGATTGCATAGGATACAATGGAATGAACGACTAGACAGCGAGCCCTACAGGCTACAGTGGAATGAACGACCAGGCAGCGAGCCCTACAGGCTACAGTGGAATGAACGACCAGACAGCGAGCCCTACAGGCTACAGTGGAATGAACGACCAGGCAGCGAGCCCTACAGGCTACAGTGGAATGAACGACCAGGCAGCGAGCCCTACAGGCTACAGTGGAATGAACGACCAGACAGCGAGCCCTACAGGCTACAGTGGAATGAACGACCAGGCAGCGAGCCCTACAGGCTACAGTGGAATGAACGACCAGGCAGCGAGCCCTACAGGCTACAGTGGAATAAACGACCAGCAAGCGAGCCCTACATGTTGTGTGTAGACACAACATTATTGTTGGTTTTGATGATGATGAATGTTGTGATTGAGACTGCAGACTATTGCAGGGGATAAACAATTCCCCGTGTGTGTGCGTGCGTGTGTGTGCCTGCGTGTGTCAGCCCGTCATTAATTCTCTGGTCTAAGGTGACCACGCAGTGTGTCCTATTGTCGTTGGCTGCTTGGTGTCTGGCTGACTTTCAACCATAGCATCTTTCTCTGCAACATCACATTGTCTTTACTCATAACATCCAGTCAGTTGACACGGTTATTTGATACCACCTCTTGCCTTACAAACGTCTGGGCACATCTGGAGGCTGGCAAAGGCTGACAGCTACAAAATCAATCCGACACTGGCGAATGGTTGGGGTGGTGCGGGGGGAAGGGGGGGGGGGGAGGTATTTAACTCGAACAAAATAGAGGAAAGAATAGGGAAAAAGTCTGCAAAACCGAGATGGGGAGAGAGAAGGAAGAGACAGATTTTATTTAACTTGGACCCCCAAAAAAGTACAGGAATGAGATAGGAGAAAGAACTCGAACACTCAGGCAGATAAATATACATATACACATATGTATGTATGTATGTATATAAATATAGAGAGGGTGAGATGCGACGTGGTGTAGCGACAAGACACTCGCCTGCGGATCAGAAGGTCTCGGGTTTAGTTCCTGACGTAACCGGACATGTTTTTCAAAAAAAAAATTTGGCTCCCGATTCCACCCAAGCTCAAGTGGGTACCAGACACAGTCTTGGGACGCAAAGGCGGCTGGCGTAATGTTAACCACACCACCCACTGAGTGCTAATTGGTCTATAAAATATAGATCTAGCCCTATTCGCGCAGTACGCCTGAAGGCCTAGGAAAGGGTCCTTTATTTCACTGTGTGTGTGTGTGTATATATATATATATATATATATATATATATATATATATATATATATATATATATATAGACAGACGGGTGGGTTGATGGACGGAGAGAGAGAGAGAGAGAGAGATAGAATGAACAAACCAAAGGGTTACATTTTGAGCAAACAGGCCCGTCTGGCGTTGGATTCGCCCACTCATCGTTCACACAGTAATTGTCAAAGGATTCACATCCAGACGGCAAACAACCAGCCGTCTCATTCCTGTCAGCTACAGAGGAACCTCGTTAACACAGATGACAAGGATCGAAATTCGAGTACGTGTGGGGAAAACCTAGTTTATTTCCTTGTCCTTTACAATGAGCATCCTTGGTGTAGCGGCTAGACGCATGCCTGCGGATACGAAAGTCGTGGGTTCAGGTCCTGATGGAGCCGGACTTTTCGCTTTAAATTGACATTAACTCGACTCAGCCTTAAATGGGAATCAGATAGAGTCCTGGGAAGTAAAGGCAATCAGCTTGATGCTGACTACATCACCCGCTCAATGCCGATTGGTCTGTAAAATATAGGTCTATCCCTGTAGACGTGGACAATGTTTCTTTGCTTTATTAGTTTTGGATTTTAGGATGCAACCCGTTAATAATCTTGTCCCCATAGGGTAATAATTATAGTGTAAATAAATGTAACTTGTTATTTTATTTTATTTGCGGTATATGAAAGGGAAAAAACAGACCCCGATTCAAACCATACAGTTAGCATGTTTACAGTTCATGGAAGGGTGCGAACTTGTAAAATCATCAGATTGCACTTGTTCTAAGTGGTAATCTGCGCGACAGTGCCCGGGCGCACTAATTTTGAAAAATGAAAATACTGTATAATCTCATTTACATAATTGTAACAGTTCACTCTGGGGTGGGCAGTCTCATGCATTAGCCTCCTGTGAGTCAGATGAATATAACATTTCATTGTATGCAGGATCGGCTATCAAAATAATTACCTTGCCTCGCTGCACTTGTCAAATAATTTCAAAAACAGTCTCTATTCTTGTGGTTTAAATGTAACGATTTGTGTTAATCACTGCATATTCTGTTGTTTAGGGATACACGAATTATTAGGGTGACAAAGATCACAGAAATTAACGGCTTTAAGAAAACAGCGCAGTTGTGAATTATAAAATCTTAGGGAGAGATGTGGTCAAGGCCCTTTGGGACCAAGCAACGGAATCAGTAGAGAAACAAGAATATGGCATGGAGAGAGTGAAGCACCTGCCTGTAACTAGAGGGTCTTGCCGGCTCACTACACTCAGAGAAAAGGCAAGACGGACATATAACCCGATTGTGACCGGTACCAGCAGTATTGGAACTCTGCGCTGGCTGCTGAAGATGAGGACGGTGTGCGCATGGGAATGCCCCGAGTGCTGTGATGTCAATTCTTTACTCGACTCAACTCAACAAGGATATTGAAAATCTAAGACCACATACAAACATTTGTTTTGATTCCTACGAAAGTTTTCCAGATAT